TTTTTCCTAAGTCCTCACATTAACGAGAAATTTGTAACAAGAATTTTTGCCTTTTTGATATTTAACACTCTGTATTGTTATTGCTACCATTCTTTGCTCAATCCAAATAAGACCATTTTCATCACTGAATGATAACAGGATATTCCCTCATACTGGTGGAAAATATGTTTTGTTTTTGGTTGTCTTTTGATGGTTTATTTTCTTCATTCAGTTAACAAAAGTAAATTTCGCAGTCATGTCAAAATTATTGTAAACATTGTTGGCCAAAAATTCAAACAGTAGACAGTATGTGATGGATGTCAACTGTGTAAAATTTTGGTATGTTCCAAGATGACGCCCTGACGGAGTAATCCCAATCCACTAGTGCATCGTTTTCGTTTGGGCTATTCATTCCAATCCGTTCAGTACAATTAGCTCGCTCCGTGCAGTTTAGTACGTTTCTGTCGTCAGAATAGGTCTGAGAGGGCTGGCAACAGTGGATTATTCCCGAATGTTTGATCTGGCAACCTAGATGTGATTGTCAATATTTTTGTCTCATGTCATTGCGCAGATTCGTATTTGAATTACAACTGTTTTTTCATAATAATTATCAAGAACGCTCTGCACAGGATATGTGAAAACATTTCCTGTTACGCCTTCTTCTTTTTTGGGCTTTCGTGAGTACTGCTCCACGATGTCGAAATTAATCGGCATTTCTTGGTTTTCCAACCTTTGGGGAGTGATCATCTCCACCTTTTTTCTGTGGGCCATTCCTTCGGGGAGGTAAGACATCTTTGGGTAAATTCAAGGGGTTATTTCACTACAGATTTTGGGGTTTTATTTTATAGATTTGTTGGTCTTCATCATCCAGGCAGCCATTGCAGGTGGCTGAAGGAATAGCCGTCCGTTTCGTCCGTTACGTCCTTTTCGCACGTTTCGCCTGTTTCACCAGTCTCGCCTGTTTCTCCAGTCTCGCCTGTTCCATTCTTTTGGTTCCAGAGGATTTTGGTGAGGTTGTCCCTCTATATTCACCCTGGTGGGTTTTCGAGAGACGTGCCACGAGGGGCACACCTTGGCAGCTACTGTGGACACCAGCTGGAGACCGAAAGGACACGTGAATTAATGTCTCAAGTGGCCTCCTATCATCATGACCTGCTGTTTGGGTTCATTCCAGGATGTTAAAATCCACATTTTTAGCAAATAATGGTAGAAGATAACTTCTGAGGCCAGTAGTTTTGTCAAGGATTCCCATTGGAAGATTCCAGGATGTTCCGAGTGAAGGTCAGATCCAACCATTGAGTCAAATTCATTTTTTCGTTTTCATTTGGTTAACTATAGTTACATATTTTTCACTCAGGTTAATTAGAATTACATATTCTTCACTCAATTAACTTTTTTGCATTATAATATATCATTGAGATTGCTTCATACATGTAGACTGTAGAGTAATAATATTAGGTAGATATTCACAAGTTATGAGGTATCACTAGTCTCCAGACACAGTGTGAACTCAGACTATATTGGCCAATATAAGAAGGGGGTATCCGTTTGAATAAGTGAAGGTATGTCCATGAGATTATCTGTTATGTGAATTGATTTGCTAGCATTTTATGAAGGTAGCACATAGGTTGTGCTTTATGAATGTTTATAACTCACCTGGTAACAGTGGTCATATTTATAACTTTGTCAATTTGAAGGAATCTTTACCAGAATTAAAAGTGGCCTCAAAGTTCACCTATCTTGTTCTTATTCACATTTTTTCCAGCAGTTCAAATACCTCACTATATCTCCTAATGAACTACTCAACACTAATTTCGTCGCACACCAAAATGTCGCCCCTGTTATAATGTGAATAACTTTTTTCTGTTTAGAACAATTTGAATTTGGTTCACACTTTTCGATAGCCCAGTCCTTCAGCTATAATCTCGTATTTCATTGAAACATAAGGGTATTCACATAAAATCTCTACATGATGTTTTCCGACACTGTGCGAAATTTCGGAATATTCAAAAGGCTCTCAAATGGTGAAAAAAAAATTTTTCTCAACTTCGACAACAGAGGCATGAAGATGATCCCATTACCTCAAGATATTTCGCGAATCAACTTCCTATCTCTCTTATTTACAGAGTGATCTCAAAAAATCAACTTTTTGGTTTTGTAGCCATAACTTTTTTCCACGTCAACCGATTTTGGAAATCTTAGGCTCATTTTGAAGATGAAACTTCAGATGAAGAGATCTGAATATCAGAATTGACTCAAGATGGCTATCAAAGATCTAGAGTTTTCTTGAAAGTGACCCAAATCTGGAACGCCCTTCGAATCTTGGTTGTGAGGAGAATTGAATGAAAATCAACTTGTTCTCGGAAAAACAATTCATTCTGGATACGTCCATATTTTCCTCGCTCTCAGTAGTCAAGAATTGTGCGTGAGAAAACACAATTGAAATATGTTCTTGCAAAAACATTAGATCATTTCTCCTCTGTAATGCATGGCCCGCCGTAACCAACGTTACAAGAATCACAATGAATGTCTGACAAACCCGACCAGCTGAGGCTCATCATGAAAGGTGTACCAACAAGAGCAACGGATTTTGATTTTTTCAATAGCGTGATTTTTTTACCAGTTGTCACGTACATAACATGCGATTCAAGAATATGGAGAAGTATTCAACCAAACAACGTTTATTTATTGTAAAAACGCATTTCAAAAATGGTGAAAGTTTCACGAAAACAGTTTGCCAATTACGTGAAGTTTTCAGTTGCAATAATGCGCCGAACGAATCGACAGTAATAACCAAACAATTCGTGTCGGAGATAAGCCCTTTGAATGGATCGGACTGTCGTGTTTATAGCAGATCCGCGATTTGGAGGGAAGATAACCGTTGTTACCTCATTTGTGGAATCAGTTCCAACTGGTCGGGCGATAGATGCTGCATCGAAACTATCAAAATCTGTTTATGATTCGAAAACGACGTCTAACCTGACTTGTCAGTCACTTACTGTGATTCTTGAAACGTTGGTTACGGGCCATGCATTACAGAGGAGAAATGGTCTGATGTTTTTGCAAGAACATGTTTCAATTGTGTTTTCTCACGCACATTCTTGAGTACTGAGAGCGAGGAAAATATGGACGCATTCAGAATGAATTGTTTTTCCGAGAACAAGTTGATTTTCATTCAATTCTCCTCCCAACCGAGATTCGGAGGGCGTTCCAGATTTGGGTCACTTTCAAGAAAACTCTAGATCGTTGATAGCCATCTTGAGTCAATTCTGATATTCAGATCTCTTCATCTGAAGTTTTATCTTCAAAATGAGCCTAAGATTTCCAAAATCGGTAGACGGAAAAAAGTTATGGCTGCAAAACCAAAAAGTCGATTCCTTGAGATCACTCTGTAAATAAGAGAGATAGGAAGTTGATTCGCGAAATATCTCGAGGTAATGAGATCATCTTCATGCCTCTGTTGTCGAAGTTGAGTAAACATTTTTTTCACCATTTGAGAGCCTTTTGAATATTCCGAAATTTTGCACAGTGTCGGAAAACACCATGTAGAGATTTTATGTGAATACCCTTATGTTTCAATGAACTACCAGATTATAGCTGAAGGACTGGGCTATCGAACAGTGTGAACCAAATTCAAATTGTTTTAAACTGAAAAAAGTTATCCACATTATAACAGGGGCGACATTTTGGTGTGCGACGAAATTAGTGTTGAGTAGTTCATTTATGAAATTTGCATAACTACATTTTCCCAGTTCCAATAAATCAAACTGGGTGGCGCCTACCGGAATATTTTTTTTTTTTTAAAGTCTAAAATATTGAAGTCAACCGACCCTTTTGCCACCAGGCATAAGAGCTACCGTGCCTGTAACCATTCGAGTTTCACTTTTTTCATTAGTAAATAAATTTCACTAAGAGGTGGTTACAGTAAATTGGCGCCCAACGTGGCCGAAATTTTTGAGTGAAAAATATAGATGTCCTAAAATATACAAATTATTTTTTTGTTTTTCAAAATCTCATCAATTTTCATACTACATTTTGGGATGATATTCTAGTGGTATATAGGCTGTATTTTTTTTTACTAGGTTATAATAAGAAAAGTTGACTACCTGAGGAAGGAATATTCTGGAATTCAAATTCAGTAGGGGGTAAACAACTGTAGCAGTAGTGCAGAGCATTGTCAGTACCTCTTGACTGTAGATATTTTCATCAGGACAAGCTGATTGTAATTCAACTTCATGCTGATCGGAAATCAACTTCAAGCTGATTGGAATTCTAATTCAAGCTGATTGGAATCCAACTACAGGATCATTGGAATTTTGGGTGAGAAACATATTTTCTACCAGGAAATCATCTTCATTTTCACTTATAAATTTTGAACAAATATTGACATAATAATACAGAGTGTTGGGGATAGATAATAAATCAAAAGCGGATTTACTGTAATGTACATGGAATTTCTTTGGCGGCTCTTCCTTTTTGATAATACAGTGGGGAGCCACAGCTTGTTTGACGCTTTGCAGGTCTAATTGATTTTCTCTTGCAGTAGTACAAGGAACTACTGATTGATTAATTTTTTTTTTGAAAAATATTTTTCTGAGTTTCATACTGCTGAAACTTGGGCACGTGTTGAGTTCTCTTTTGGTTGAAAATATCTGACCCATGTATTAGCACATAGCTACTTGATTAAATCCTTATCTTTTAAGAAGTTCGTGTACATTGTCAAAATTTTTTGAGTTTCATACTGCTGAAACTTGGGTATAATCTGTACTTTTCCTTAGGTTGAACATTATTCCTACAAAGGGAGACCATGGAATAGAAACAAACAAGGACAGAAAGAAAATAGAGCCATTAGGCCTTCAGGCAAAAAGACTACTGATACCCGGAAAAAGCATAGGATTGGCGAGAAGTAACTCAGACTCAGGTGATGCGATAGAAAAAAAAAAGCGAACAAATCAGAGGACGCAAACCCATACAAGAAAAGAGAGAGTTCGGAGGTATTCACTCTGCAGGAAGCAATAAAAATGAACAAGAAACAACATATGGAAATGGAGACACTCATAGCCGATACACCCAACACTCATAAAAAGATAAAAGAACTAGCCACGCAGATGGAGAAAGTCACAGAACTCATGAATAGAAAAATTGTAACTGAATGGCTGGAGGCGAGAAAGATGGAGCCAGTGGAGAAAATGACAATTGATGTGGATACCCAAACGGGAACAGATATTCCACATGATAGAGGCTTAGGAAATCACACGAGCGAACTAGAAGACGAAAGAAGAGACATAAGGACCAGACAAAAAACCCTAGATAAACTAGAGGAGAAACTAGAAGCAAAACGAAAGACCCTAGAGGAAAGGGAAAGTAGACTAAGGAAACAGGAGTCGGACTTAACTGCTCGAAAAGAAATCACAATATCGACGTGCGCAACATGCAATTCGAAAAGGGAGGTAAGGGGAGAGAACATATGCCAATCACTAGAAGGGATTGATACCTACGAGAAATGGCTGGGCATCGCAAATAAAGAATGGGGAGAAGAGCTCTTTCAAAACACAGAAATAAAGGTAGGAAACCCACTGGATACAAAAACATCGACAGTGAAAGTAGTACTAATAGAACCGACGGACAAAAAGATGGAGAGGAGCATACAACACCTATACAGAGAAAAGTACCCAGAACTCATGGAAACAACAGATCATTTCGCAGTTTTAGAAATAAGTTCCAGATGGAAACTCAAACAAAACGATTCCACAGTTCAGAAAATCATCAACCCTTTAGTGCGCACTGTAGCATATCTGATACACCACATTTATTATTCAGCTTTAGCTTTATAGTTGAAAATTGAGAAGGTTTCTATTGCCGACTTTCTAGTTTGGAAGTATTCTTCGATTGTACATGTGTTTCTGGAACACAGGTGGCAGCACAAAATCACAGATTTCAGATGTGCAGAGCGAACACGCAGTTGAGTGACAGGTGTGCTAATACCGCGTATTTGATCTGAATTTTGATACTGTTCTTCGATAAATTCAACTTCAAAAAAATTGTGGCTCTTCAGGAAAGGTAAGGATCAAATCATTTTTCACTTGTTATATAGGAACCTAAAAATCTTGTCATTTTAAATCTATGTTGCATATCTGCTACAATGCACATTTCAAGTATGATGAGCATCGTTGCATATATAATACACTGCGCGTATGGTGATGTTTCATTTCTTCTTCAAGGACAATGGACAAAAACATTCGCAGTCTCACGAAAGAAGAATTAGAATATTTTGCTGATAATCTATCCGAATTGAGCGATGATGGTTTGATTAGTAATGAATGTGATGAGGATAGTGATTCGAACCCTCTTCAAATATTCGACAGTCATTACGATCCATGTGAGGAAGAACAAGATGATGTTTTCGACATTGAAAATATGCCTATGATAATTCTACCTGATTCGTCACATGATCTATTGAGTATGGATGAAAATACTGATTCTAATTCAAATCAAATGGAAAAAATAAGACCGGTCGAGAATACTATCCCTCCACTACAAGAAAAATACAGAGAAACGGAGGAGGGTAATAAATTATCTTCATCCCCAAATAGAGATAAACAGTCAACACCAACTATGAAAAGTAAAAACTCAAAATGTTATACTCAAAGTAGAAGAACAAGGAAAAGAAAAATAACTGAAGATAAGGAAAATATCCCTAGTTATCCCAAAAAGAAGCAAAACACATCACGTGATAAACTAAGAAAAAGTAGAACGAAAGAAACTCTTTAAAAATTACAATGGAGGGAGGGAAATCTGGTGATGCAAAGTGATTCAATAGAGTTCAGAGGTAGTGAAAAGCTAATACAATCACTATACGAGCTGCACACACCTTATGAGTTTTTTCGATATTTTTTTGATGACAATTTGATTTTAATAATTGTGGAACAATCCAATTTATTTTCTACTCAAATTCTCCCAAATGCTCCTGCAAAATTGACAGAGCTGGATATCAAGAGATATATTGGTATATGTATCTTGATGTCTGTTATACATTTACCAAGCGTCAGAAGCTATTGGTCATCATCTATTGGTGTGGACATTATCAGAAACACAATGTCACGAAAGCATTTCGAGAAAATTAGAAGAAATCTGCATTTCAATGATAACACCACAATGGTGCCAAGAAATGATGTGAATCATGATCGTCTACATAAAATTCGGCCAGTCATCAACCACCTCAGACTGTTGCCTTCGAGTCCTGTTTGTCAATTGATGAACAGATGTGTGCTACCAAAGCAAAGAATTATCTAAGGCAGTACATGCCCGCTAAACCTCACAAATGGGGCTATAAACTGTTCGTCCTTTCCGGCATTTCAGGATTTTCCTATAATTTTGGAGTCTATACTGGTCAGGAGAATAAGCCGAACACACCTGAGGAAGACTTGGGTGCATGTGCAAATATTGTAGTGAGACTACTACAAAATATTCCTCATAACCTGAATTATCGTGTATACTTCGATAATTATTATACAACAATCCCTCTACTCGTACAATTGGCGAATTATGGCATTCACGCACTAGGAACAATGAGAAGAAATCGTATTCCGAATTGTCCTCTTCCGAGTGATGAGATTATGAAGAAGGCAACCCGTGGTGACAGCAGAGAATTTCTAACTGAAATGGATGGTATACCTCTGACTTCTGTTATATGGAAGGATGATAAATCAGTGGTATTGGTCTCTACATATGCTGGAACATTACCAAAATGCAAGGTGGAAAGGTATGACGAGAAAGAGAATATAAGGATCGAAGTTGATTGTTCTCACCTTGTGAGAGAATACAACAAACATATGAGGGGAGTCGACTTATTGGATAGTTTAATTGGACGGTACCAAATAATGATTAAGTCTAAGAAGTGGTACTTTCGACTCTTTTATCATCTTTTGGATATGGCGGTTGTTAATTCCTGGCTTTTGTATAAACGTGTTGGAAATGACAGAGGTGACATAACATTACTGGGTTTAGCTGATTTTAGAATTGAAGTGGGTCAGGCGCTCTGCATGATGGGGGTCCACAGAAATAGCCAACGTGGACGTAAATCAGACGTAGAGAAAAAACTTCAAGATGGCAGAAAAGTTGGACGAAGTTCATTACCTCCGAAAGATGTTAGAACTGATGATACATCGCACTTTCCTATTAATCAATCAATTTCTTAACATTTCTAATCTACACCAATTTAACCCTGTATTGAACTTTATGGATAGAAAATTAGATTTAATTCTAAGTAATATGGATATTCTGAATTGTAATAGATGCGATCAGCCTTTGGTGGGCGAAGACTTGTATCATCCAGCTCTGAACATTACCATACAAGTACCAAATAATCGTTTTGATGATGACACAATTCCAACGGCATATAATTATGACTATGCTAAAGGAAACTTTGAGCTATTATACCATCTCATTGCTTCGACTAATTGGGCAGAGTTGGAAGATACCAGTAATGTTAATACTGCTCTAGATACTTTTTACAATAAATTATTTTTATGCATTGATGAGGCAATACCAAAGAGGGCTTATAAAGCCATAAGTAAAAGTAAATACCCCAATTACTTTTCAGTAGATCTTAAAAAAAAAATAAGAAAGAAAAATAGATTGCATAAAATGACTAGGCATGGTACAGGAAGCTTAGAAAATCAGCATAAATATCAGGAACTTATGAAGGAAATAAAGTTTCAAACTAAAAGGGAATATCAAATGTACCAAGAAACAATAGAAAAAAATGCTAATTTTGATCCTAACAGCTTTTGGATGTTTGTTAAATCGAAAAGTGCCTCAAAAGGTATACCATGTGAAATGCACTATAATGATAAAGTACTTACTGAACAAAAAGACATAGCTAATGCATTCGCACAATATTTTGAGTCAGTATATGAAAGTCCATCGCCTAACAATATTAACATACACCTAGGAGAGTTCGATTTCTCAGTAATAACTGAAGAAATGGTTAGGAAGGCAATTAAAAAACTAAAACCAAAAAAAGCCACCGGAAAAGACAATATTCCTGCTTATATTTTCAAGGGATGTGCCGATTTCTTTATTAACTTTCACTAGAAAGCATGAATTCATTAGAAATACTTATAGTATAAAGGGCGCTGAACTTCCTAGGAAAAATGAGTGTAAGGATCTGGGAGTTTATTTGCAATCTAACCTAAAATATAACACCCACTTGAACTACATTGTAAACAAAGCTTATAAAATTCTTGGTTTTGTTATTAGAAATACAAAATACTTTGAAAATGTTAGCTCTATTATCAAACTTCACAATGCATTAGTGAGACCGCATCTTGAATATGCTTCAATAATATGGGCTCCCAAAGCTGAAGTGAATATAAACCTTGTTGAAAAAGTCCAAAAAAGGTTCCTGCGATATTTGTATGTGCGACAACATAATGCATACCCCTATATGATCTCATATAGGAGTATGCTAGATAGTTTCCATATGGTTACCCTAGAACAGAGACGCACATTCCATGCTGTGGTATTCATTTATTATTTTATCAATAGTATAAAATACAATGATTCATTTCCAGTCAACTTTATAAAAATATAAGTACCCAAAGTAAATTTAAGCATAAATAACAAGAATTTCTTTTATACAAATCAACTGGATTGTTCTCCTATGAATGAAATGCTACGACAATGTAATATACTTGCAGAAAGGTGCAATATTGATTTTCTCAACTGTAATTCAAAAGAAATAAAATCAGCAGTATTCAATATTGAATGTATTTTATAGTACCTCCGTAGTTTTTAAGTTAGCTCTAAGTCTTTGTGTTTTGAAGCACTATCTCTTATATGTAAATACTCCTGGCTGTGTTTGTAAGAGAGAAACCTTAAATAAATAAATAATAAAATAAAAATAGATCAAGGAGAAAAGGAGGAAACCCTATGGAAAAGATTGATAGAACTAAGAGAGGAAACTAGAGGAGACAAATGGGTAGCAATACACCACATAGAAAGAAGCGGTACGGAGCATCTAAGAAATCTAGCAGAAGCAGTTTTCCATAAAACGGAAACGCAAGTAATAATATACACAAACAAAAGGAAAATTATGGCACAGCAACAAAAGAAACGAGAAAGACCACCAGCTCTGATAGTCGAACAAAGAGGAAAGAACTACGAAGATACGGTGAGGGAAATAAAAATGAAACTGAAAGGAAACGAAGCTACAAAGATAATCCGATCGATCAGGAAAACAAAAGACGAAAAGGTCCTCATCACGATGGAAGACAACAAACCGGAAATGGGGAAAATTGAAAAAGCGATAGAAGAAGCCGCCGGAACTTTAAGAGTAAAAGAAACCGGCAGAGACCAGGAGACCATACACATAAGAGGACTGGACATCACAGCCACCAAAGAAGAGGTAGTGAAGCATATCGAAAAAATGGTAGGAGAACTAGACACGCAATATATCAGAATCAGCGAGCTGAGACCAAATGCGCGAAACACGCAGGCAATAACAGTAACCCTCGAGAAAGAGAAAGCAGAGATTCTCCTGAAACAACCATATATACGTATTGGCCTCTCGAGAGGGAAGATGGAACGGAGAATAAAAGTACCAAGATGCAGCAAGTGCTGGGCGTATGAGCACAGCAAGGAGGAATGCGATGGACCAGACAGGAAAAATCTATGCTATAAGTGTGGAAAAGAAGGCCACATAGCAAAAAAGTGTGAGGAAACGGCAATATCATGCCCTATATGTCAAGAGGAGGGCCATAGAGCAGGAACAACGGGATGCAAATCGTTCCGCAGAGCAATATCACGGATCAGACGGGAGACAAACAGAGAC